GAAGAAGAAGCTTAGATGGTGCTCTTTCTCTGCTGCAAACGATTAGAAAAGAGAAGAGAAAGGATGTTTGTAACGTGTGTTTTGGGACCGTATAAGCTTGTCTGGGTTTGGAGTCTAATTCCGTTTCCTCCTTCGTGTTGCCACCGAGACACTGTATATAAATATGTTCACCCTGTCCCTTTATTATGGAAAGCAAATCTCTTCGAATCTTCCAATCTGCACATCATCAAAGACGAGAAAAACGCAAAAATCCGGAAAAACAAACTAAAACACAAGAAAAAACTAGAATAAGAGAAAACACGAAATAAACTACAAAAAGAACCAAAAACTAACTAAAAGATCAAATACGGGGGGAAAAAGAACAGAAAAATAACAACGAAAAAAGTAACAAAAACGGGACAAACACTTATTTATAAACAAGAACTCTAAAATGACAAAAAAAATTGTAACGAGTGTAATAAACATTAAAATCATATATTAAATTATTATATATCATAAAATAAAAAATAAATTAATATTTATTTTTATACTAATCAATATTTCATTGCTTTTATACCAACAATTTATAATTACAGCCCTGTGCATAGTATATTTGAAAAAAAATGGTCAATAAATCATTTGTGGAAAGTTTACAAAAAGTCGAGTCAATCCATTTGACTAACTACTTATGAAGATTGCTTAAAAAATTCGAAATTTTGTTTGTTTAAAAAATCTAAAATTCAATTCATTTTAAAAAATTCAAAATCATTCCATATTTGCTCAAAATTTGTTCCCGTGTTTTCAAATCCTAATTCCATATTTTGCGCAAAAATTTATTCACGCGTTTTGAAGAATCCTAATATTGTTACGGCTTGAAAAATTTTAATATACATTTTATCTCAAAGTTGACAGCCGGTTTAATGCAACAAAAAATCTGTTAATACGTCGTTAATTTACGGCATATCACATGTTTGCCAATTTTTGTTAATTACGGTTGATTAATTAATGGTAACAAACATAACTAGTTAATTCACACATCCAAATTTTAAAAAGATTCAATATCACATAACTCTATTTATCCGATTATTTTTTGTTATCTTATAAAATCGTTTTATCTTTGATGTATGTTGAAACCCCGTTTTCTTTCTTCAAAGTTGCATCTTAACACATTTTAAAAAAATATTATTACTATCAAATTCACGCATAAAATAAAATATATCACATATAAAAAAATTTCAATATCACATGCCAAATAAAAGGATTAAATAATTACAACTCAAACTCAACCGATTTGAGGCAATTTACTTTTAACGCGTGCCAAATTATGTTACGTGGTGACTTTGCATATAATATTTTTATGTAAAATATGTAAAACTTTAAATATGTTTTTATATATAACATTGTAAATACTTTCAAACATGTTAGTCTATCTTAGTTATATTTCTTCTTATCTCTTATGTGGTGTATCCACATTATTCTATCTCATTAGGTGGTCTGACATGCTACCAACCAGAGACGAATCTAGAAATTAAGAGTAGACTAGGCTAGAATTTTAAAAACCAATCTTCATAAAAATTACATAATATTTTTTCTTCAAATATTCATTGAAGTTGTGCTCGATGAACTTCTACAAAGAAAAATTTCATTATGCTCATTTTGCACTGCATTCGACATGATTTCACTAGTTTGATGTTGATCTCGTTTTCTAAAGAATGATGATATCAATTGCTTTTTTTCTTCTTGGCCGAAGGTTGGTGCTCCTTGTGAATTTCTAAAAATTCCACAATGCAAATAAATAATAGATTTTTCATGTGACAAAGTTATTATTAAAATGAAATGCCTACACATCTAAATTATATCCAACTATGATATACAACAACCACAATAGATGATAA